ATATATATATATATATATATATATATATATATATATATATTTATAGAGTTTTAGCTTTTAGTTTTAATTACTTTTTCTTATTTGTAAGTCGCTTTGGATAAAAGCGTCTGCTAAATGACTAAAAGTAAAGTAAAAGTAAATCTCACATTTCAATCAGTTCGTCATGTTTACTGAAGTAGACGGCATCCTTTATTATGTTTCCGTTTTCTTCCTCACATTGATTTCAACATCTGCTTCAGTAGCATTCGCCGTAAAAGGAATTGTATTTCAGTAATGCCAGCTGCTCAATGCATAGTTGATTTTATTACATAAACACATGTCAGACTTGGTAACATAGTACTTAGGGCTGGTAAACATGCACAAGGAACCTTCTAACTTCATAGTACAAGTCACTGAAATGTGATCATGTGGTGATGATAGATAGATAGAATGCTGTGACAGTGTTTTATGCCTACAATAAATTTCAGACAGAAATAGCATAAAAACTGTATATATAAAAAACCGAGGAAGACTACAGACAGAATGTTTCAGACAGATTATCTTCAGTTTTGGTGATTAAATAAACATTGCAAAATAGATATTAGCACTAAATTGACAGTATTACAATGTGTCTGAAAGGTTGTGTCAACGAAAAGAATATATAAAACAGAAAAAATATCAGTTGAAAATATTTTTCAATATTAAAATATTTCCACAAAGCCACTTTAATAAAGAAAGACAAGTATAAAATAAATCATTTGTAGGTTTTCCACAAAAAGCAAAAAAACAATGCAAATCATTTTCAACCCAATTAGAAGCAGCAACACTGACCCGACCAATGGTGTGAGTTTGAGGCGGGGCTATCAGTTTGTGCAGCCAATGAAAAATGGGGGCATGTGAAAGTCAACAATGAAAAGTCTTTTTTTTTTTTTAGTTTGATGACACTGATGGCACATAAATTGCAACGTTTAAAACAAACTTCAAATTGTCTTTAACACAAATTGGCTTTGAACCTCTGGCATGAGATGGCAGGCTTCAAGGCAGCGATGTTGAGAGCTTGTTAATGTGATTTATCTGACCACTTCAATCTAACATAAGGAATTAATATCTCTGAGACTGATTTTCTAAAAGCATGTATTGTTGTCCTGACTGCTGCTACATGATGAGAGTTTTGTTTCATTTGTCTGCTTGAGACCTTGTGATTCTGAGAGGCGTGAACATGTGGAAGGGTGAGATGTTCGGAAAGGCAGATGTTCTTCTGTAAAAGCCGTCTCCAGCACCAGCAGCAGAGACTGTTTGAGCTTCTTCTTAAACTCCTCACACATGAACACATAGAGAATGGGGTTCAGACAGCTGTTGAGATGAACCAGGCAGTTAACAAATGGCCCTATTTTATTGAGTACGTTTTCAACGTCACTCCACCCATTTATAATTGCAACTATGGAAGACAGCTGTTGAACATGAAAAGGAAACCAGCATATGAAAAAGGCCAGGATCACAGATACAATGACCCGGAAAGGTTTAAGCTTCTTTCCGCTTTTGAGACGCTTGGCTCGCACTCCGATAGCAATGTATGAAGATGCAATGATCAGGAAGGGGATGAGAAAGCCCACTATAAACCTGTATATGAACAGAGACTTTAAGATGTTTACAGAACATTCATAGGCACACTGATTATACTCTCCTGAGCGGCACAAAACAAACGGGATGCTGCAGCCAATGGATAAAACCCACACGAGTGAACAGATGATCCTGGCTTTGACCAGAGTTCGTTTGTTTTGAGCCCAAACAATCATCCAGGTGGACAGACATCGATCCAGACTGATAGCCGTGAGCAAAAAAATGCTGGCAAACATGTTTAGCACCGTCACGAAGGAGACAAACTTGCACATGAAGTCACCAAAGAGCCAAACCTGGCTAAAGGCAGTAACAATGTAGAGGATGATGACTAAGATGAAGATGAAGTCTGCAATCGCCAAGTTGAGAAACCAAATGGAGTTGACGGTCGTCTTCATTTTGTAGCCGGTCACATATATGACGAGCCCGTTTCCGACAATACCCAGAGCAAAGATAACAAAGTATATGAATATATTGAAGATTTCAATGTCTGATAAGACTATCTGCGTTGAGTTGTTCAACTGTTGACCTTCATGTCCCACACTATTGGCCGCTACACAAAGAAAAGAGAATGGTTTATGACAGAATTAACATTTCTGATACTTTCCTTTGAGTTTTGAATTGAAAATTGAGTCAACTAGAATGATTCGTTCACAAATCCAACTGATATAGTTCACAAGTTCAAATCACTGACTCAATGATCCTGTTGCAGTGGTTAACCATGGAGGCCCGTTTCCGCCACCAAATAAAAAAATACTAGCAACATTTTAATCTCACAATTTGGACTTGTTTTTCTTACAGTTCTGAGAAAGAAATCAGAATTTTCGAGATATAAACAGAATTGCGAGATATAAATTCAGAACTGCAAGATATAAACACGAAATTCTGAGTTTACATCTTGTAATTCTGTTTTTTTTTTCTGCTGTGGAATACAAAATAATGCAATTGAAATCTAATAAATTTATCTCAATTTTTTTTTCAAAATTTTTTTCCTCAGAATTGTGAGTTTTTAATTCTGTTTTAATTCTCAGTTTATAACATCTCACAATTCTGTCCCCCCCCCCCCCCCC